AATCTGGCCAGTAAACCTTCATGCCATAAAAGTTATTATTCGTAAATTGTAATATTTGTGTGAAAAACCAGTTTACGGGACTTAAAATTAAGTGAAGACAATTTGGAAATCTATGTGGTAATGCTTTCTATGAAGCGGATTGCAGTCGAAAACAGGCCAAAATCGGATTGTAATGGTTATTAAGGCTACCGAAGAATATGAAATAAATGCCGATTAAAACACCGCATCGAATGAGCAAACGTTGACTTTTGTTTGGTTTATCCAAAGGATGACGCCACTGATATTTGCAGCTTTATCGTAGTACTTAAATTAAGTGCACAGTGACCACTGTACGACAGTCATGATTTATGGGAAGAAACTGCGTCTTATGAGTATTTTAAAAAATATTTTTGCCTTATCAATGTCCAATTTCTACATTAATTTGTATACAAATACTCTGTTTAGCTTTCTTGTTTAAGCCATGTGGACTACATTTAACCATTAAATAGGTAAACAATTTGTGATTCTTTTGTAATTGCTGTACTCTACTCAAGGGGTTTTAAAGCCGACCATTTCTTTCCGTTGCTAACTGTGATTACTATCTTTTGCTTGAAAATGATCTTAAGTAAACACACACACACACACACACATATATGTATGTATATATATATATATATATATATATATATATATATATATATATATATATATATATATATATATATATATATATATATATATATAGATAGATAGATAGATAGATAGATAGATATTTTCAAGGAACTTACGATGCAGTGGAATGCTTTGTCAAAATGATCAGATGAGATACAATACAATCAAAATAGATGGTGATCTCAAATATCTCATATAATGTATACAATTTATGATGACTGTTAACTTTAAAAAATGAACTTATTACGTGTTGGGAAGGACATATTACTATACAAGTTGACCCTGTTAAATTGTTTTGAATGAATTTGTTATATGTGATGTAACATTTAAAATAAAAAAAAATTGATATAATATGAATCGTTGCCATATATTTCATGTATAAATGAATTTATATATTTTTATTTTCTACAAATCAGTCGCTGACATCTACAGGATGGGTCCTCAAGACCGCATGATCCGCGTGAGTTTGAGTCTCAAGCTTGACCGACGTGGGTAGATGTGAAAGCTTCCAGTAGGTTGGTGGTTCTTCACGGAGTTTTCGTTTCTTCTTGCTCCCCTAGATATAATGGCATCTCTGTACAACCTGTCATGCGCATTAAAAATGGCGTTAAATCCATAACAACAATAACAGTTACAGGACCATAAGGATGTAATAGTTATGCGTGATGAATGTTTATAATAGAATGGTGAATTCTTATCAATACATATTTATTTTGTTTCATAAATCAATCTGGAGAAATATTGTGTGAATACAGCTAGTAAATACAAAAAATTGAAAGCAGTCAGAAGAATGATAGGCATTATCACGTGGGGTCGGGGTCAAGGTCAGTGGGTCGTTACAGGAAGAGCAAGTAAGGAGTTAATCTACTTCCTCTTATTATACATAACCAATATGGCGCGGCCCCGTCATAAAACTTTTGCATACATCGTGATCACCGGATCAGTTGCAAATTTGAAAATATATTTAATAGATTATAATGTGATGAGTATTAAAAAGAATTACGAAGGCCGGATTTTCACTTGAACCTAAAGACTTACAATTATGTCCTAAATTATACTTTTTCGATAAACAAAATGGACGTAAGCAATAATTCACCAGTACAATGTTTTCTATCTCTTCCTTTTGCTCTCGTTCTCTATCTCTTTATCTTTATCTTTTTCTTCCTCTCCGTCTCATCATCAGCATGTACGTATTTACTTAACTACATACATATATTTTTATTTTCTTACTTTCAAATATTACAAGCTTTTAAATATTCGATATTTGTTACCTTGTTTTGCCGATGTACTCGAATTTGGGTACATTTTGGAAGTCATCTTTGAGTTAATTACCATTTTTTTTGGGAAAAGGCCTTTGACAAGATATGTAACTCGAGTCCAATTAGTATTTCCTTCAGTACATAACAAATGTGTCAGTTTGAAAGAAAATCGCACGTGGTCATGGTATTGCTGTTTGTTTCCGTCGTGTTATCTTTAGCAAGCAACGTGTGAGATATTTGTAGATGAAAAATCACCAACCCACGTAGATGACTAACGAAGCTCAAACCGAATATTTCAAATGAAATAAGCAATTGTTTTAACCACTGAGCTTTTGTGGCTTCTCACAATCAAATTTATTTGACGTCAATCCGGTCCAATTTTCTTTGCTTTTCGTGATGGCCTTGTGAGGAACAACATAAACCTGTCGGATTGTTTTAAGCAAAGCGAACCTCAAATAAATAATGATAGGATTAGTTTATGATCGTTTTAATTAGCAAAGTGACGGGTCCTGACAGGTGAAATGGAAATTAGATTTTTGAAGCTGTGCACACTATTTAACCCACATATTCAAACCGCAATAACCATATGGAAATTGTCCCGCAAGTCCATGAACTTGAATACATATCGGTTTGGGTCTAAATTTAGAATGAGGACACAAACAAAATGTGTGGGATTTCTTCAATTGTTTTCATATTTTGTCTTCCCATAAATGTGGTAATACAACTGACCCAAGTTAAGTTGAGTTTAACTGCTTTTCCACGTTTTGAAAAAATGGACTACACTCATGTGTATAATTGTTTTTTTTTTGTAAATTCAATTCGATAACATTTACACACGTTTCCGGTTGACTAAGACTCGCTTGCGGTCGCTTATGTTGAAAATGAACACTTTATAGTTTGACTCAAAAATGCCTAATGTGACATATTACGAAGCGAAAAAAGGAAGAGAAATGGGAGAGCTTTCTTTATATAGTTTCTATTTACTACTTAAAAGAATGTGTTTAATTCATGATGGGTAAATTACGGGTTCTGATATCTACAGCTAAGACGGACAACGCATTATGCGGTCAATAAAATGTTTGGGTTATTAATGGCTCGAACGTTCGTATGTAGTTTGATTAGAGTCTCTCTTCCACATTTCTTTGATAATATTGTCAAACTAGTCAAATAGGTAATAGATAGATAGTCTCCATACAGCTTTTGTGGATTAATAATGGATGCTCTTGCAGCGCGAAGACAAGTGGCGGGATGAGACTTTGGTTTACCATAAGCTAGCTTTCTCTGATGATATAACTCAACGTTGAAGCATGAATTAAAAGACCATCTGCAATTTTCCGCATTCTCTAATGGAGTCTGAAAATTGTCCCTGTGGGGCAGAAATTACATCAATAAACTAGCATTATATCAACATTTAATTAGCACCCCACAAGACGATTGCCTTCTATCACCACCATTGGGACCTTGTTCCACACCACTTTCCTTTGAGAGCTTAGAGTCGGACAAACAATCAAAGTCCATTACAGTCACTGATAGTGGGCACTAAATGACCTATCCGAGAATTAGTAGTGGACAATGATCAAGATAATTGGACCGAAAATTAAATTGTAAAGCTCAAGATTTGTTGGACAAAGACACCGGGAATCACAAAGACCTTTGATACTACCCATTAATATCTCAGCATTGGAAAAAGAAAGCATAGTCTATCTATAAAAATTACGCGTGTTTGTGCATGTGAGTGTGTGTGTGTGTGAGTGTGCGTTTATCAAGCGTTCAAATTAACTGCAACCAAACCTGAGACATTTTTCTATATAAAATATAGCAAATCAAAGTAATCATAGTCTCCTATTAACACAGATACCATGCAATCTCTTCTGACCTTTGACTGAGCAACAACCGTACATTCTTATAAGTCGAAACCAACTGTAAACAATATAGACTCTGATCTACTTTTGAATAATGTAACGCCAGATCAGGTTCTATGTATTTTCCAACTGATAATTTAAAAAAAGAAAATTAAAATCCATATGTTCAGGTGCATCATGCCAAGACAGCTCTGGATATATGCACTAGGTCTATAAGCGAGTATCGACGGCCGATAATCCCTGATCCAGATAATTTTCACCATGTTCAATATCACCATCAAACGTTTATTCTATCTGTAAAATTGATGTTGTAAAGCAGTTTATAATTTTCGAAGACTTATAAGTCTACTTTGAGAAAAAACAATGGAGATTTTACCCACCAGCCTGCATTAAGTGGTGTTTTTCTTTCTTCATAAATTAGTATGACTAAAGAAAGACGAATAAAAGAATCAGGACTTATACGATACGCGACAGTCGGTAAATGAAGGATGATTCAGTACTAATCGCAAAGCTACGATTAGAACGGTAGGGGGAGCGAGATTCTTGTCCGACTGTTTCAGCATCCATCTGAACTTTGCAAACACTGAATGGAACTTTGAAGCAGCATTCTTGTATAGCTTGATCACCTGTATATACAAAACTTTCATAGATCTGGACTTTCTGGCTGCGTTAGTCAATAGATATTTTCACAAACATTTACTTTTGTCCTCAATTAGGGAAGACAATCTTATCTGCTGTCGTCAGTTAGGGAAGACAGTTTAAACTGCTTGTGTCTAAGTTATTGTTCTTTCTTCATACAAAAGCACAGGTAAAGGAATATCATTGAGGTCTGAGCATACGTGTACTCAACAAATATTAATGGAAAGTATATTATCCTTGTTTTTATTTATAATTTTTATATGTAAACAACAAAAAAAAAAAAACAATAACTGATTTCATCTACAAAGAAAATAGGTATCTGAAACCCTCCAACCCTCCAGCCCACGCATCCTCTTCCTTCCTTCCTTTATGGATACATAGTGGCATACTTACATATATTCATACATACCTACACTGATTAACACATACATACATACATACATACATACATACATACATACATACATACATACATACATACATACATACATACATACATACATACATACATACATACATACATACATACATACATACATACATACATACATACATACATAATGCATCCATCCTTGGAACGCACGCTCCTGTGGCCTAGTAGTTAGAGCGTTCGCCTCGGATGCGGGAGGTCGTTGATTCGATCCCCGACTCTGTCATATCAAATACCTATAAAAATGCTACTAACAGCTGCTTCGCTTAGTGCTCAGCATTAAGAGGTTAGTGTTAGGACTGTCTGGCCTTATGTAAGGAAAATGGTACGTGATTCCCCAGTGTTAAACATCGCTATGAACTGCCACTCAGCAGAAGTTGTAGCGAAATGCGGGAGGTCGTTGATTCGATCCCCGACTCTGTCATATCAAATACCTATAAAAATGCTACTAACAGCTGCTTCGCTTAGCGCTCAGCATTAAGAGGTTAGTGTTAGGACTGTCTGGCCTTATGTAAGGATAATGGTACATGATTCCCCAGTGTTAAACATCGCTATGAACTGCCACTCAGCAGAAGTTGTAGCGAAATGACTACCAAAATGTTAAGCTACGTTAAAAATCCAAAACACAATACAATACAATACAATACAATACAATACAATACAATACAATACAATACAATACAATGCAATGCAATGCAATGCAATGCAATGCAATGCAATACAATACAATACAATACAATACAATACAATACAATACAGTACAATACTGTGACTGGGTATGGCGTCAAGCTACATGTCTGCAGCATGATGATGCCCCAGTGGTAGACATCACTACAAACTGCCACACTGTAGACATCGTAGCGATATAACTGAAATATTGTTAAAGCTACGTAAAAAATCCGAATCTCACACACACATACACACACACACACACACACACACTCACACATACACACACGCTTAAAAGTTTGGAATACAATATCATACAAACGGGTTTGTTTGTAAATAGACAAACAAGCATTAGGCGCCGTATGTAATATGTGTCGTACCTTTACAAAAATTTTTCATTCCAGGGAGCTTCCGCATATTTGACACAATAACGAAATTCTGAATACCGCGTGGAAAAAACCCCGTACAAGTTCTCAGCTTGAGCAATGTTTTTGCGTGATATGAACCATCTTAGCACGGGTAAATGTCAACTTTGATCATTTAAGATGTGATATTTCTAATTATAATCAAAACTAGAAAACTGTAGCCTGAAACTCAAATTAAATTGCCTAAAACGACTGGGATTACAGTATTAATTTTACGAAGACGAGCCCATGAATACAAACACGTTTAGGAAATAAAGTATGGTACATATATGTATAAAAATATGTCACCTTCCAGTCAACACATCAATTGATCCATATATTCAAACATGTATGCATGAATGCATCCATCCATCCGTTCGTCTATCCGTCCGTATGTCCGTCCATCCATCAATCAATCCATCCAACATACATACGTAATGGGCAATACTTCCATCCTAAAGAGTTCTGAACATAACAGTTACGATTTTCACATGATCACAAAAATGTATTTCTCGGAGAAAAGGCAGTCCAGCCTGAAATTTAGTATCTAATATGTAACGTTTGTTTGTAAAACATTCGTTACTTCATGAAACTGCCAGGCTAGAATGATGACATCTTTTATGGAGTCGTTAATTTACTAATCTACATTGTCAACCTTTAATTCGTCCATGACAAATAAAGAATGTCTCCTTACTAACTCTTACTTTGCTTTAGTTATCAGATATCATTTGTTTAGGAAGACAGATTAAGAACGAATATCCTGTTTTTTATTAGTTAACCTTATTCGAGATCATAAATTATGATAGAGTTTATATAATAGTACATACCATTACCATATTTACATCACGTTTCTGGGTTTTTTGTTTTTGGTTTTATTTAAGTGACTCAGTTACAGCTGGACTTGATTCTCAATACATCCTTTGATATCGTACAAGTTATTAAAGGATATGACAGTTTGTTTTACTACACAAACTTTCATATTATTGAACAAGCTTTATAAACTTAAACCCTCGTGATATATGCTTATTTTAAAATAGATTTATTAAACGAGTCAACATTTTATTATCTGCAACCTTTGACGAGTCAAATATTGAACTAAACCAGCGAGTTTTATAAATGTCATATCTGGAGGACACATATGCAAGTTTTTTTTTATTATCACATGGCAGAAAAATTGATCAATTTGTTCAATAAGCAAGTAAATTGAGGTTTTGAAATGAATCACATTTAGTCGACATGGACAGGATGCTTTGTGTCCAACTTACTTATATTGAAAATGAAAGTGGTACGTCGTGAGTAGTAAAAGGGTGGGGGGCATAACTATGAAACTCCTCTGTTAACTTCTATGTTAAATTTGGTACTTTGAGGAATATTAGACCTGTAAAGGGACAGAAATATTGGGTCTGCATGTATAGGAATAATAGGACTTGAACAGCAGAAAGAAGAAGAACAAGCTTTTGTCATTGAACAGCAACAGCAAGATGAAGAAGAGGCAAGAAGAAGAAGAAGAAGAAGAAGAAGAAGAAGAAGAAGAAGAAGAAGAAGAAGAAGAAGAAGAAGAAGAAGAAGAAGAAGAAACAAGGCCCAGGAGAGGAGGACAGTGAAAGTCAAACGGTGACGGTATTCTTACACATTTTGGCAGAGATAAGGAGTCTGAAACAAATGCATCGGACTTCTTTAATACAACCGAAGAGAAAAAGACCTTCCCGAGCCAAACAATTCAACCCCGTCCTCACAGCTACTACGCCTGAGATACCAATACTAGTGATTTCTACCAAATCATCTCCATAAGTCGATCTTGGCTGTTGCAAAGGGATGAGGCAGCTAAAGCTCATTACTTCCCGTTCCTGAGTTTGTTTTTAAAAAAGAAAAACAAAATCAAACACCCAATGGTCCTTTTTAGGACCACCCATCTCTCTCGAAAAGAGACTACTCAATGTTTTCCAAAGTCAGTTAAAACCCCAAATCCCATTTTCCTTCTCGATAGACGTGCATGAGTGCGTGAGTGTATGTCCTTATTATAAAAATCAAAACCAAGAGACACTTATGTTTTTTTCTTCTTTCTGGAATATTCTCTGTAACAAATTTGCAATCCAATTTCACAGCACATCACTTAAAAAGTTCCTTTTTCTTCTTTATCTTTTCACTGTCTCTTTTTGTTGAATTTATTCATTGACACAGAATTTTCCTCTTCGTCTTCCCCATTGTTTCAGGATATGTTTGGGTTCTTCCTTTTCGGAGGGCAATTCTTCTTCATGTTCGGAACCTCTCTCTACATTCTGTTCCTGTTGTTTCTTAGGGCAGTTTGAAGACCAATGTCCTTTCTTTTGACGATGATGGCAGGTAACTTTACTGGTCTTGCGTTTCTGACGGTCTGAACATTCAGAAGACCATTTCCCTTTATTTTGAAAGATATAACAAGTATCTCGAAAGGAGGGCGAGTACTCAGTTGGCTTCTCAGAAGAAAACCTTCGTATGACATTGGGAAAGCTCTGATCAGAAGTTTGACCTGTGCTGGCTCTTTCATCTTTCTGGTAGGATTGAGAGCAAAATGGATCCTTTGAGGGAAGACACTGACCCTCTATATAGAGAAAACTGTAGTTTTACATTGATAAGGGACCATGGATTCATTTGACGTTTTGCAATCAAGAAGAAAGTAAGAGGCAGAAACGTGACCTACCTCCTCGCATAGTAGCTGAAGTTTTGGCTCAAATTCATGCCAATGATTACGAAGATGACATGAGTGAACTAGTATCCAGACACAGAGAGCATCCGTCAAATCATGTCCACAGCCAGTTAACCCTGAAAAGTTAGAACCACGGCCTATACGTACACGGCGAAATTTAAAGATTTCAATTTCGAAGTACCACTACAGAAAGCAGAGGGTTCATCACCGATTTGCGGGATTCTTTATTAAGCACACTGAAACGGGAATGTCGAGGCAAAGAAGATGATCGCTTGTCACAATTGTTTCACCGATCACGACAGTCTGAAGTTCCCTATTTGGATCGAGTTTGTCAGGCTAGCAGAATCGACACCGTTCAAAGAGATCGACAAGATTCAACACGTACAGCAGTCCAACGACAAGTTTCACATCACTGATGGACAAGCGACACTGTCCATGGTCCACGTGTCTCTTAGCAAAAAGACCGGACACATAAAGGTGATGCTGATGTAAGACATTCGCAGCATCAATTTCAGCATCGTCCAAATTAACAACACTCAAGACAAGATGTGTCTATCCAGGGCCATCGTGATGGGACCAACGTATACCTATAAGACCGATAAGTTAGAATGGAAAAGAGCCTGATAAACGATTGGACAATAGAGCCGAGCCAAACAACGAAGAGAAGCAAAACTCCTATTACATATATCCAAAGACACTACCGGTGGCATTCCTGAAATGCAAAAATTGCAAATGGCTCCACGCTACACGTAGAAAGTACAAGAAGTGCGGGAATGTATTGTTTCAAGGCAAACTTTTTAAAGACGGAAAATACATTCGTCATTCAAGTCTATCATCACGATTAAGTTTTCAATGTCATTACCAGTATCATCGTATTTCTGGGATACAGTTATTACTGTGAGAAATGTGCACTTTTGTCCAGCCTGTTATCAACAACGTCTGAAAACGCAAGGTTCACAGTGGAAAAATGCTTGCCGACTCCTTAGATTAGACTACTTATGGAAAAGTTATACGTAGCAATAATGTCAAGGCACATCTACGTCCAGTTAAGAAACGATGTCACATTGACACCAAATCGTGGACCTGGAACACGAATGCTACATTCAAAAATACCAACCTCAACAGGAGGAAGAGGAGGATAACCAGAAGAAGAAAGAGAATTTCATCTTTTTTTCAATTTTCAATGCATACAAGAGAAAGGCATTCACATTCCTAATTTCTGCGTGGATCATTGAGCGTGCCAGAAGTTTATCGAAGAACACATATCTTACCATTGCTTCCACTGTAGCAAGATTTATGGAGGACGTGAAAAAAAAAATTTCCTGGATCTAACACGCTGTCCGATTTCGCCCAATAAATTTTAGACTCTATCGAAGAAACATGGAACCAAAATGACATCGAACGTTACGGAGATCTCCATCACTATGCCACTGTGATGATTCACAATTTTTCGGGATACGATTGACA